AAAAATCAACTACCAACGGCTACCTCACGCTCAAGGCAGCTCAACCAGCACAAGGATATGATCTTGTGAAGATTTTGATGATCCTGTACAACGGCGCCATGGTCATTTACTCTGGTTTCCTGGTCATTGAGACGTTGATCTTGATTACCAGGGCCGGTTACAATCTTGGCTGTGTCCCCGTGGATAAAAGCAACTCAGAACTTGCGATACGGATGGTTAATGTAGGCTATCTCTTCTACTTGTCCAAGTTCGTTGAAATGCTGGACACAGTCTTCTTCTTGGTGCGAGGAAAGCTGGATCAGGTTACCTTCCTGCACGTGTTTCACCACGCTGCGATGCCGCCGTCAATATGGCCGGGGGTGAAATATGCTCCAGGTAGGTTCTATGATATTTGTCCCCTTATATGAATTGGCTCTTAATTTTACTGATTTGGGTACACGATTTGCGAAAAATATAACTCCAGAACTCATAGTAGGAGCCTGCCGTGATTGCAGAAAGTTGCAGCTGTCAGGTAGAGCTTTGTTGGGAGAGCGAGTGCCTTTACCTTGACACGTTGAGTCCTCAAAAAAAAAACAATTGCTGACTTTAAAATATCCGTTTTAATGCTTGTATTCCAAGCGCCTGACAGGCCAAAAATCATGCCAGGATTGGGATGATAGATTCTTGGCGGTGTCTCTGATGTTCAGCAGAGGACGTGATAAAAGTCGCGTCAGAATGGTGGAATGTCTGCAGCCGTCAGATCAGAAAACAGGGCTTACCCAGAATTCCCTGATGGAGAAGTCGGTCACAAATGGTTTGACAAATAGTGTTTTGGAGTTAGTGTCAGGGCAGATCTAGCTTCGTATGCCTGCTCGCGGTTCCCAACTGCTGAAATTCCGTCTTCTGATGCTCCATAGTATCTGCCTGCTTCATGTCCTCAAGGCAAAACTTTTTTCGTCCTCACTTGACACGCATCTCGTATCGGAACGATCATCCGGAAGTCCTCTGCGGGATCTTGGTCGGACGTAAGGTCCTCTGGGCAATTTATTTTTCGTCTGCGCCAATGTAGCTTAATTTTGCGGTGTATTTTACGGACAAAACTGTTTATGGTAAGTTATCCCCTGGCAAAACGAAGTTTCGGTCTGAAGGACAGACTTCATCTATCGAAAATCGCGTCATGCTTCTGCTTCAGTCACAATGTGATCGTAAAATCATCAAGCCTGTTGATTTCTCAATCTAATTATCGAAGCTGACAACCTGTCCACTCACCCTAAACGCCAATTTTATTAGGCTGAGCTGAAAGTTTGACCACTGCTCGAGTTAAAATTTAAACCAATCGTAGAAGATAGCAGCACTCCTGATCTATTTTTCCTGCCTCAGAAAGTATTTAAGTGGAAATGACCTCCTTATGCTCCTAGATTGGTGCTTCTCTATGTATTTCGTGGTCCCCTTAAAAGTGCGTTATCAGAAAATGTGAGTGCTGTCGCCTTTCTAGTGACCGGAGAGCTCATCAGTCAGCCGGCAGACTACTCAGGAATTGTTTTCATGTAACAGGGTGACGCCGCTGACTCCGCTAGCCTTATCAGGGAAATTCGGATGGTCAGTTGCCAGAAATGAGCAGTTGAATGCTCTAATAGGATCGGTGCCAATAGAGCCGACAGCTTCAAAACCCACACCCGAAAGGTTGTGCTTTTGCCAGTGCTCACTCTTAACTGCAGCGGAGCACCTATAAAGTTTAAATTCTTATATGTAAAGGGATCGCAGTTGCCATAATTATTATCAGTTGCACAGAATGCCAAATAAATTCTTGGAGAATACTTAACAGGTGTCTGACTGAAGTTGACATGATATCGAGCATAGTTTTTGAGGTTTCTTGGAAATTGTGGGTACAGGCGGGTCCCCAACACAGCCGCTCGGATTGCTTGTTCGAGGCTGTCTCCTCTAGCGCCCTGGGTCAATTGTCTAGCCACAAGGCAACA